GCAAGGTCTGTACCATACAAAGATACGGGGTTCATGGGTGGACGTTGGCGTTACAAACTTACAGCATCCCAGCAATTTGCAAGGTCTGTGCCATACAAAGATACGGAGTTCATGGGTGGACGTTGGCGTTACAAACTTACAGCATCCTTGAAACTTGCAAATTCTGTACCCTACGAAGATACGAAGTTCATGGGGTGCACGTTGGCGTTACAAGCTTACAGCGTCCTTGAAACTTGCAACGTCTGTACCATACAAAGATACGGAGTTCATGGGTGGGCGTTGTTACAAACTTACAGCGTCCTTGAAATCTGCAAGGTCTGTACCTCACAAAGATACGAAGTTCATGGGTGGACGTTGGCGTTACGAACTTACAGCGTCCTTGAAATTTGCATGGTCTCTGCCATACAAAGATATGAAGTTTATGGGTGGACGTTGGCGTTACAAACTTACAGCGTCCTTGTGAAATCAGCAAGGTCTGTACCATACAAAGATACGAAGTTCATGGGTGGACGTTGGCGTTGCAAACTTACAGCGTCTTTGAAATTTGCAAGGTCTGTACCATACAAAGATACGGAGTTCATGGGTGGACGTTGGCGTTACAAACTTACAGTGTCATTGAAATTTGCAAGGTCTGTACCATACAAAGATTCGAAGTTCATGGGTGGACGTTGGCGTTACAAACTTACAGCCTCCTTGAAACTTGCAAGGTCTGTTCTTGCTCGGTTGCCGCCCCAGGTCCCCTTCACCTTACTTGGTTGCGCACCGCCCGCCCCCCTTTTCCCCCTCCCACCCGCGCCCCCGCCTCACCCCCCCCCCCTCCCCACCCCCCTTTCCCCCCCGTGGAATGTTCACCTTACTTGCTTGCCACTCCAAAAATGCCAGGCTGTTAGAACTTGCAACACAAGCAGCTGGAAGACAAATCATGCCTTTTGACCAAATGCTTAGACTGGCCGGTCGCATCCTCAGATCCTCTAATTCAGATCCACTTAGACAGGTTAGCTAAAAGCCGGATTCAGCTGAGCCCTTCGAGGTAGGTCGCAGAAGAGTAGGGCGACCCAGACAACAATGGTTATCTGACGCTAACTCGTTGGTTTATGCTAGATATTCGAACTACCCATATGATGGTTCTACGCACCAGAATGGACTCATTCTTCAAAAAGCTCAGAATATAGAGAGTTCTAGGGTCTCCCATCCCAGTGCCGATGCGCAGTTCAATCTGTCTCCAAGCAGAATGCGCATGGCGTTTGAAAAAGACAGCCCAGCCGCGACTACGGCAGGCAGCTGTGTAGCAGATAGCTTAGGGACTGCACACCCGCGCGAGTCCGAGCCGCATTCACTGCAGCTCTGAACTCTTCTGGCGACACCTGAAATCGTCAAAATGGCGCATGCAAAGTCTGCTGTTTGTTCCGGCCCGCATGTGCCTGGTACCATTTGCTCGGGTGCTTGAGCCGGGTTTTCAGGTGGTGCTGCAGGCCGGCCGCAATCTCGGCCAGTGGAGAACGCTTCTTCATCCTTCAAGGAGTCGTTGCGGCGCAAGCTGAATTTGCGGAAACACGAATCCATCCGACGAGCGCAGTCCTTCCCGCATATGGTTGTTCGCGGGGTCGGTCGAAAAGGCGTCTCATGGCTCGCCCTGCTGCACAAGCAGCACTTCAATCAAGCATACCCGAGACATAGACTTACGGCTGCAATTGCGTAGAACAAACGGATGCAAGCCTGCTTCGTGTCCGAGACCAGATGCCTCCAAAGGCATCTGGGCTCACGAGGTCTCGCAGCTCGCCTGCCTATGTCGTTGTTTTTGAATCAGGCGCACTTCAATACGTGACAAGCACTGCGCAACTGACAGAAAAACAATGCTGCAAGCCAGGGACGAGAGCTTTGAATACTTTGTCACGGTCGAGCTTGAGAGGTTTGCTGTTCCTGCGGCGACCGTCCGCGTTGGGCTGCTCCCGTGGACGTTTCCTGCATCGGGAGTGCGTCATAACTGTATGTTGCTACCTTGAGCTGTCTTGACGACCGAGGATTCTGCGGCTATCTGGCACTGGCTGGCCTGCCTGCTTCTATCTCAGGCACGTTGAGCCGCATCTGGTCGGCGATCGTATCCGAGATCCTGTTGGTGCACGGACATGGTTGACAAACACACAGCGCAAGCGTGCAAGACTGCTCGCCTCGCAATTCCTTTGTTGACGTTCTTCTCCTTTGCGAACTTCCGGCATTTTTTGAGCAAGTCCAGAATGCTGATTTTAGGGGTTTAGGGGATGAGGGGTTTGGGGTTTAGGGTTTAGGGGTTTAGGGTTTAGGGGTTTAGGGTTTAGGGTTTAGGGGTCTAGGGGTTTAGGGGTTTAGGGTTTAGGGTTTAGGGTTTAGGGTTTAGGGGTTTAGGGGATTCGGGGA